CCCCCTTCCCACACACACACACTCTGCTGGCTGCTGTGTGCAGCTTGCATGGGGAACAGATTGGTGGGTGGCTGCTCTGGCATGGGGGGCCCTACACTCTCCTACAGCACTACTGGCATCTGATAAGCCACACAGCTTGTCAGTGTAGGAGCAGGGAACCAGGGTGGATGCAAGGGAGCTGCTGCCATGGGTGTACCTGAGGGGCTGTGGAGAGGCACCCCTGCCAAAATTATGGATCTCCAGGGCAGCCCATTGGCTGGGCTGTCCAGCTGCTCCTTTTGCAGTCTGTGGGGGCAAAACCTCAGAGCTCCAAGGCTTTTTCTTGCTCTCCCCATAAAGGGATTGAACTAGGGGCTCTGGCCATGCTATCCCAGTGTTTTTCCACTGATCCACCCTTGTCTATGCCTGGCTTCCTGTAGCTGGTGGTGATGTCAGGGTTGTGATGGAGTGCCTAATGCCTGCTGGCATGACTCTTTGAACTTATCCTGTTAGCTCAGTAGTTATGGTATTGGATGTGAGAGCTGTGGGTTCGTGCCTGGCTCCTGTCTTATCTTTCTTCTTCTACCTTTTCAGAACAATGGTGTGTGTGTGGCTCAGAGCATGGGTGGGCACTCCTGCATTCGGTCAAGTCCTTGTTGGGAAGGGGTGGGCATCCTTGGGGTTCTTCTGACATGCTTGCTGTGTGTTCTCTGCTCCGCAGAGGGATATGTGTTATTTCCCTGTGCAGAATGCCATAAGAAGCAGGCCAGTGGTTCTGCTTATGTTTTGGCACGCAGCCACCTTGGTGGTCCTCAGGACTGTGCTGCCCATATCAAAATATCCTCATAGTCCTACTTTTTGTGATTATACGACAGCATTTCTGTTCAAACAGCACACTTTTGTTTGCTTACTGTAGAATTTTTCTACCATCAACTTTTATTTTTCCTGCCTCTTATATGGCAGAAATCAAGATATGTGTGCTATGGTACCATTCACTGCAGCTGTTTGCAACTCTTTTTTCAAGTAATGTATACATGCAACTTTTTAAATTAAAATAAAGACATTTAAACTTTTAAAGTCCATAAATAAATAATGCTTTATATTGCTAAAACAGTAGAAGTTTAGGAGAGTTTGACAGAACAGGAAATATTGCACAATGGCGGCGGCGGCTCCTGTCTCCCAGAGGAGATCCGGGCCCTGCGGGACCTGGCACAATTCCACAGGGCCTGTAAGATGGAGCTCTTCTGCCAGGCCTTTGCATAGGAGCTGCTGCTGCCATTGTGCCGCCACCGAGCTGCCACCTTCACCGGTGGATTAGACCCAGAGGTGAGCCGGCCCTGGGAAGACGCCTAGATGACCAAAGAACGTATGCCGCTAGGTTAGGTTGACGAATGGAACCCATCTTGGACTATAAGACGTTAACATCAAGAGCACCGCACTTTGTTTAATCATTGTTTTTATGCTGTTTTAAGTGTTTGTTATGGCATTTGCCTCTTTTGTAAGCCGCCCTGAGCCCATTTGGGGAGGGCGGGATATAAATCCAATAAATAAATAAATAATAAATATTGCAATTTCCCCACAAGTTTCTACTTATTTCCGGGGGAGGGGGGGGAGGTTTTTCGTCCCATGGCTTCAAAATTTCTGGAAATTTTACATCTGTTGTATATACTAAGGTTTCTTTCTTTCTTTCTTTCTTTCTTTCTTTCTTTCTTTCTTTCTTTCTTTCTTTCTTTCTTTCTTTCTTTCTTTCTTTCTTTCTTTCTTTCATCAGCCCTTCTCCCAGGCATTCTAGTACTCAAGGTGGGTAACAGCAATGTAAACACAATACAAAACATTTAATAAAATAAACATTAAAATAACACATCAAAAACAAATCTAAAAACAATAAGCCCAAGCAACAAGCCCTTTATCCAGGTTCAGGCTGCCCGAAATCTCTCCATAGCAACTGCTAGAAAGCCAGGAAGAGAGGAGCATCCCTGACCTATTCTGCGAGACAGTGCCGAAGGCACAGACAGCCACAGAAAAAATCCAAGCTTGGACCATGGCAGAACATGCTGTAGGCATCAGAGGAACTAATAATAGACCTTGGTAGGAACAGAAAAGCTGCTGCATGGGAACATGCAGGAGAGACAGTTCTTCAATTATGTGGAACTCAGGTAATGAAAAGCTCCGGAAACTCAGTCAGTGAAGGGCCTTAGAATAGGAGTGACATAGTTCCACAGCTAACCACATATAACAGATGAACTTCTGCATTTTGCACCTACTGCAGCTTCTGGATCATCTTCAAGGGCAGTCCCATGTAGAGCATGTTACAGTAACCTAAACTTGAGGTGCTAGATTGGCGTGGAACATCATAGCCTGATAATACATGGACAAATAGGGAGCCAACAAGAAATCAGGATCCAACAAGAATCTTAAGCTCTTAACAGGGTCTTTCAATGAAAGCTGCACACAATTAATGGTAAGAAGAACAATCCTGTTTGAAGAGTGGCCCTTTCAGCCAGCATCACCTCCATTTTAAAACGGAGCTCTTCCACCAGACTTTTGGAGCCGCCGCCACCACTAACCATCACTAAGAACTGACAGCTTGGGAGGGAGAGGCCCCCCCCTGGATCTTTAAATATAGCCAGCTGCCTAAGATAACCTAAGAAGACTAAAGGCCTGACTGCGAACTGTGTAACAACTACCGCTGTGAAATTACGAATGTATTGCTACTAGCACCTTATTATATTATGGTTTTAGCATTGTTTAATTGATACATGTTGTTCTTAATCCTATTTTATGTGTATTGTAAAAATTCTTCATGTTTTATGTAAGCCGCCCTGAGCTGGCTTTGGCCGGGAGAGCGGGATAGAAGTCTAATAAATCAAATCAAATCATCTTATCCAGATTCAGCTTGAGAGGTCCTCCCTCAGCCACTTGACCACCATATTCAGACAGTGGGCAGGGCAAAGACAGCAGCAATGAGTAACCTTTTCAGAGTAATATATGTAGTTCAGTGTCATCAGCATATTGATGACAACCTACTCTGTGCACAATTTCATTATAAGAACTTGGTGGTGGAAAGTGCCATCAAGTCACAGTTGACTTACAGTGACCCCGTGGGGTTTTCAAGGCAAGAGACTTTCAGAGATGGAGCTAAAGGTAGGGTTGGTCAAACCAAATGATCACAAAACTTTGGGGGGAGGGGATGCTACCTGGATATAGAAAGTGGTTCTCTGGGCTTTTTATAAACTGGTATCACAGTAAACTGATAAGAATTAGGAAATGGTTGGTGACCATAGTTCCCTCTAAGCTGAGTTAGTGTGAGCTAGCTCACACATTTTTGTCTTAGCTCAGGAAGGATGGCTCCAGAGCAGACTAATTTATGCAGCAGCCAAATCGCTCGCTCACAACTTTAATGCCAGTAGCTCACAAAGTAGAATTTTTGCTCACAAGACTCCACAGCTTAGAGGGAACATTGTTGGTGACTTTAAGCTAGTTCCAAAGATAAGGGTTTTGTTTTTGTCTCCATCCTCAGGAAAATAATTATACTTACTAGCATCAGCAATGAACTTGAACTTACGTAGGGGGAAGCATATGGATTTATTTGGCCAGCAGATGGCGCCTTATGTCTATAAAACGACCTTTCGAATGCCTTCCAATAGATCTTGTGACTAAAAGCATACTCACTGACCAAAAAACTCAGAGAAAACTTTAAGAGTCTTGCTCACCTAACCACCGTAGAATCCACTAGCACTTGAAAATTATCTTAAAGTTTTCAAACTGCAAATCATATATGACATTATCATCATGAGACTAGAAGCTCTGTACACTACAGCTTCTTCAGAAACAAAGGAAAGCAAGGGAGATAAAAGAAAAGAACTTAAGAAGTGTCCCGCTAGATCAGACTGAGGTTGTGTATGGCCCAGGATCCTATTTCCAACAATGCCCACATAGATGTCACCAGATTATCTACAAAAAGGGAATGAAAGAAACAAGCACAAAGAAAAAATGGCAACAAAAAGCTATTGAATATAACTATGCAAAGATTAACAGAATGCACAAGAAGTCCAAAAGCACATGATTTCAAGGGAACTACAGTTTTAGAATACTTCAAGTACCCTAGTCAAGAATGCTTATACAATGAACACCTTCTAGTATGAAGAGTTGAACCACAAAAGAAGTAGCACAGTACAGCCAATGGCTTCTTTAAATCTTGGAGGCCACTGAATTAGCTGGAAAAGTAGTAAGACACTGCTACTAGCTATTTTGTAGACTCCATCAACCAAAAACTAATATTGCTACTCCAATAACAATAATCATAATGGATTAAAGACTGTGGAGAAAAACAGAAAAATCTGATATATAAAATAATTTATCTGGGTCTCCTTGAATATTCAAAGCACCTCACATATTTTGAGGATTATTTTCCCTATATTGGGGAGGGGGGTGAGCTTTCAGAAAGATGTACTGCTTCATATTATGTAACTATACTTATATAATCAGAAGGGAGCTGTAAGTTCACATTCTTTCCTGTGCCTCTTCTGGCGTGTAAATTGCCACAATTTGTGTTAACCACGAGTATGTCAGTGATATAAAATCATGGTTACCGCTAGTCAGGATCCATGTTGAACCAGGAATTGAAACAGAGTTCCAAGCATGGCTTACGGCAATGATTACACAATCAGAATTAATTATATATGCACAGAACCCCAGTGAATTAATAGCTGAAGCAAGATTTCAACAGGGATTTTCCACTCATGTTTGAACTACATGTTACCATCCAACTGTTTCTAATGCATTCCTACCGCTTTGCAATGGAAAAGTAGCATTAGGAAGTGGAGACTTGAGAAGGTGTACGCAGACGGAAGGTTACTCAATCCTTCCCCTGCAGCTCTTCCACTCTCAGGCAGACTTCCAGACTCATCTTTACATTGTGAGCATAGGTCTGGAGCTCTGGACTGAGGAAAATGAATTGAAAAGTAAGAGTATTAAGCACAATTCTCAGTGTAAAAACTGATTTCCTAAATGTCCCTTACCTGGTTGGTAAGAGGCTGTTGAATCTGGTCAGCATAGGATAAGGCAGAAACTTGTTGGTCATTTATGTTCTGCTGCCGACGATCGCTGTACTGCTGATGTGAATGGGACATCTGTCCAGCCATCTGAAGGCCAGCAGCATGGAATGAAAATGACGGTGCAAGCCGAACAGATGAAGGTTTGCATGCTGAAGTCTCTCCTCCTACAAAGGACAATGCAAGAGTTCAGTATGGAGTTGTTGCTTAGGTTGATCTTTGTATGTTACTTTGTATGACCTTGATGTAATTATACAAATCTATCGCTCTCCAATACACACAATTAAAAAAGAAATGCATATGTACATAGAAATAACTTTTTGCTTACTAAGTTTCCTGCATACTTAAGTTTCTTATTTCCTGTCTACAGTATTCTCTTGCATGTCTCAAAGTATGATGCAAGTTCTTCCCCTGGTACAACACCTACATTGAGAGGAGTCCCTTTTCTGCCTATCCTGCTTGGTTCTGTCAGTAAAATGGTTTCTAACAGTACTACTTTTATTTCCTTTGGAAAGATACTTAAAAATGTTGTAAGTTATAATACGAACAATTTTTAGTATTTCTATCAACCACAACTTGTAGAGACTCATATCATAACTTCTGAAATGTTATTCATTCTGAGAAAGGTGAGATAAAGCTGCTAAATTTTGGTCCATTTGTTATTAACCATACATGGAAATGGTCCTTATTAAAGCTTTTCATTAGTATTGCATTACACCAACAAGACAAGGAACAGGTCTGCTCTAATACTTGCTGAATGCCATACAGATGCACCACCCACCCAAATTAGAGCTTAGTGTGTAATTAGTCCTGCAAAGGAAAGGTTATGTAATATAGAATGCTTCTAAATGTGTGTGTAGTCTTAAACTCTGGCAGCTGACACATGCAAACCATACAAAATGCAACAAAGTCTGCTGAACTGAACTGCTTTTCCAGAAGTACTGTCTGTTTAATGCTGTCACCTAAGAATTCTTAGTCAATCATTTGAAGATTCTGATATACTTCATAGACAGTTCCAGGATAACAAGTACTCCAGATCCAATCTTAAAAATAGTATACAATCTCATGTGAGAAAGGGGAAAAGCCTCCTCTCATATCTGAGGATTTTGTATTAAAAATAATTAACCACTTTAAAAATAATCAGGTGTCCAGCTAAGCAGATTCAACTTGGGTTTTAAATCAGTTCATATAATTGAGCAACTAAACACTGAAGTCTGATGGGCTATGTATCATTATGAAAAAGAATCACAGGGCATACTTTCACTTTTCACAGATTGCCTGAAACTGAAAATATTAAATAGTTTGAAAGCATAATAGATTGGATCCTACTAACATTCTGCTGATAGAAGAGGGACAAACTCATCTGATTCTTCTGTTTACTGTAGTCCCTGACCCATGTAGAATTTTAGCTGTGAGGATCCCTTAACACCCAGCACAACTTCTACAGACATCACAGGGACTGCTGGAGGAAGAAGATAAGGAAAGATCAGCTTCTATCAGCAGACCTTTGGCAGAAAATAACCTGACGGCTTATGTTTTAGGGGGGGGGGATTAAACTAATGACCAGTTTAAAAAGATACTTAGCCAAACACTTGCACTGGATAAATGCACCAATGGAGTACAAATACAGAATTCCAATGTATTATTCCTAAACCAGACTAACCCACCCTGATTGTTCTTACCAACAGCACCTATGACTAGGCCTTGCCTACTATAGAAACCCACTTCTATTGCATCTTCAAACATGACATTCAAAAACAACATAAGAAAGCATTTTATTATAAGAACATGTACAGTAAGAGTTCTCCCAATGTGTGTATTAAGTGCCATTAAGTTGCTTTCAACTTCCAGAAACCCTATGAATTAATGCCCTTCAAAACATCCTATCATTAACAGCCTTGCTCAGGTCTTGCAAACTGAGGGCCATGGCTTCCTTTATAGAATTAATCCATCTTATGTTGCGTCTTCCTCTTTCCCCGCTGCCTTCAGGTTTTCCTAGGATTATTCTCTTTTCCAGTGACTCTTGCCTGAGAATGTGACCAAAGTATAATACCCTTAGTTTAGCCATTTTAGCTTAATTGGTTAACTATCTGCATATATAGCTAGGTGCTCTACGTGATGAAAGACAAGCACTTGATGGTATAGGATTACATTCAACACTATGAAACTTCAATTTTTTTCAAGTAGGGCATTATCCTGTAAAAGAGCTGCATAAAACTGAGAAAGCTCAGAGTAATATGTCAGTAGTATATTAACACAGAGGGGTTTTTTATGATTACAGGAAAAAAGAGGTACATAGGAACACATCTCCCAGAAGTAGTACATGTTTTGCTAAGCCAATCTTCTACCTTAAAAGACAAACAGCTTCAGTCATATTTGAAGGCAATGTGTTCAAGTACAAACCTATTTATTTGATTTACATTATATATAGATCCATCTTTCTCACTGAGAGTCAAGGTGGATTACACTGTGTAAATCAATTAACAGGATGGGACATCTGATGCCGAACTTAATGCGGACACCAGATTGGCATAGCCCGCTGCAGCCCAGAACTCCTGAGCTCACGCGATCCACCGGCCACAGCCTCCCCAGCAGCCGGGATTACAGGTGCGCGCCACTGCGCTCGGCTCAAATGATGCTCTGATGATACCTGTCGAACACCAATTAAGGATTTCTTTCTGTGTAAAATGTCATGATGTCATTTGGGGTATAAGACCTATTGTCCTTCCTGGTTGGGCAGATTACATCTTGGTGTTACTGGGTGCCAAGGTATCCAGACCTGTATTTTCCTGATTATTGCAATAAACAGATATTTATCCTCTCCCTGGACTCCAACCGTGCATTCCTTATTTGGCATCAGGAGCACATGGGACACAAATTTGTGCATCAGTTTCTGGCGACCCAGATGGGACCACAACCAAAATGTCTGGATTAACTTTGCACAATGCCTGAACCTCAGCAAATTCTATCTTCACAGCGGAACAAACACCCACAACCTGTTTGCATCCTGCCTCTGGGGAGTCCCAATAAGTTTGAAAGAAGTAGAGACTAATCCACCCAGCCTAGAAGACCATCCTGGTCCAACCCCTGACCCCATCCCAGAATGGAGTACCCAAGTTCAGCTGTCAACCAAAGATATGTTTGCTGTTAAGATTGCCAAAGTCATACCCACTGACCTCTGCCTGTTTTTCAAGGGGTGTGTAACAACTTGCCTTAATGTTACCATTCATCAACTTGAATGTAACCGGACTGAACCAACTCCATCTTGTGCCCGGCACACCACCTTTTCCAGAGGATGGTTCCTGTTCTGTGGACTAGTAGCCTATTCTTATATGCCTGGTAACATCGAAGGCGGTCCCTGTGCCTATGGCCGCCTAATAACTTTCCTGACTCCCTGGAGAACTACAGTTACTTCTTCTCGCCCAAAGCGCAGCTATAACAAGATTGATGAAAAATGTGATCCCTTAATGAGACTGTTTTCCATCAGTGAATCTACAGCCCTGGCTGCATCTCTGGTCGGGGTCTCAGCCTTGGCTGCCATCAACTCCGAGAGTATTGAGGACCTAGCCTGCAGACTTACCCATCTGATGAATGAAACCTCCCAGGGTTTAGGAGGCATGTTGGCAGACCTCCATGATACTGAAAAGGCTACCATCCAGAACAGAATGGCCATAGATTATCTGTTGCTCAGGGCAGGGAGTCACTGTGCTGTATTTAAGGGCATGTATTGTTTAAATTTAAGTGACCACTCAGCCTTCATCGAACAAAACATCAAGAACACCCAAGACATCTCCAAAGGAATAATAGCTTCTCATGGATGGGGAGACTGGTTTGGAAGTTGGTTCACTGGTCTGGGATCCACTATTTATACTGTTATAACGTTTGTTCTTATGGGGATCTTATTAGTTTTTGGGATTTGCGTCTGTATACAATGTACTCCCACAATAATAGCCTGTTGCGCTTCAGCACGCCCCAACACCCACGATACAAGAGTCGAACAAATGATAATGGTTGCTAAATATTATGTTGAGTGTCCTGAGTATTCAGTCCCAGCCGACATGATCCTGAATGAAAGCAATGAGCCTTAGGGTGGTCATTTCACCAAGTGGGGGGATTTGTAGGACAGGGGACCAGTGAATGTGATTTATGATTGTGATTTTTGATATTTCTCTTTACATGCAGAATGACAGCTGTCACTGTGCCTTATTAGGAGTCCGATTAAAGTGAATTTAGATTTTAATACTTAGCCCAGACAGAAGAGCTGTAGAGTAGGATTAATTAGAGAATTATTTTAATGGTTAAAGGTCTTTTTCTTAGAATCAGAAAATAATGGAATGGAATGTACCTTTTACAGGGCTCTTTTTGTAGCAGGAACTCCTTTGCATATTGTCAGCTACGCTGCCATATTGTTTATGGATTGAGGGGGCACCAGCCTGACCTGCGTATGACTGGGTGCTGCATTCCTTTCTCTGCATCGTTTCTCCTGTTATCTGTACTCTTGTACCACTGTCTAGTTGTAGTGTCTTCATATTAATCAACCATGTGACTGGTTTCGTTTCCCAGCTCAGCTGCATCAGTTATTCCTTCCCACCCGCGGGTGGGGGGGATGTCATTTGAACTTTATATACCTCAGTAAGCTTTTCCTTTTTACTCTGTCACGCCCTGTTGTCCTGAGAGGGGGAAAACCACCCGTTGCCGTGTTGACTCGAGAAGGGACGCCCCTGGAAGCCTAAGACTTCCCTCCTCCCGAGTCTTCTCCCAAGCAAAGTCAGGACGGCAGGGCGCGAAGAGCCCAGGAAAGGAGGTAGAGTGGCGAGGAAGGGTAGCTCTCGGGGTTAGAGTCAGCCTCAGATACCGGGGAGCCAATGGGTTGCGTCACCCGGGCTTTCCCCGTTCGTGGACGAGTTCCTACTACAAAAAGAGCCCTGTTTGAAACTATAAGCTCTCCAATTGGACATCTGAGAAGTAAAGCTATGAGATGGAGAGACTCTTGAGTATTCCCAAAACAAATATCTTTCTGTGTAGAGCAGAGCATCTGGCCCCAGAAGGTCTGCCAAGAGCTACATTTTGTGCATCTTATCAGGAAACTCCCTAGTTTCACGCTGAAGCAAATAAGCCAGGAATGATGCCAAAAGAAGGCCCCTCTGTTCATTGATGTTTTCCACGG